TAATGAAAAGTTGGCATATTTTATAGGACTTGAGGGCTTTTCAGGTCCAAATAAAGCACCTTTATTTGAAATGACCTGAGGCTATTAATATCAGTCTCAACCAACCTGATTTCAGGAGGTGATTTCATAACTATTTTATGGCATTTTCATGTGAATTCATACAATGAGATTTGTACGAAAATGAAGATGAAGCTCCCCATCTCTAAACCTAACTGTCAGATTGGGCGTAAGCAGGTCGACGAAAACATAAGAATGGAATCTGAAAAATTCATATCAACCACTGTTTCGCCAAAATGTGAAATAGTTACGAATTTCCATAAGACTATGTTGTTCTCAACCCGAACCTGCATGGGTCTCAGGAAGACCTTGGGTTTTCAGATCCAAGTGGACCAGACTGTGAAGACCTCTAGTGTCAGTCAAGGGTTCAGGGTTTGACGGGTTAGCATGGGCAGTTAGCCACAACTACACTATCCGGCAGCAAAACAGCATCTATCCCCATGAAAGCTTTTCAAAATTGTCCCTGTATTTTCTTGTGACGACTTCAGCCAATCAGCATTGTCTTGACGTCATTTCCCTGCAGGAATGTGTGAAGTAATTATGAATGGCAAACATTCCATCAGTCCAAGGGAAGATTTGAATTTCGAAATGTCTTTAAAGGTTTCCAAAGAGCACAGCTGAAATAATCTGTATGTTAAGCACTGAATTAATTTCAGAAGTTTAATACTCAGGAATGAGGAGTGACTGGAGGAGAGCTTTGGTGAGTCTCCTGACGGGCCGAGTAGATGTGTGCGGGACACTCTGGGCTCTGAAGTCCCCGGTCAGTGCCTCATCTCTGGCCCGGCCCCAGCAGGCCTGTCTCACTGAGCACTAGGTCATTCACATGCATCATCTGTTCTTCTCTGCCAGGCCGCTTGTTTGCATTTGTCTTTGCCTTGTGAAATTTGCAGTGTAGGAGAGCGGTTCAGCTTGAAGCATCTGTTGTAGGCAGCCTGGGTTTCGGTACTTTTTTTTTTTTTTTATCAACCAACCTGAAACAGGAGGATGCTGCTGCTCAAAAACAGGAGATTGAGAATTTCATAACACTGATTTTGTTTTAGAGTCTGTGCATTACAGTCATTTTATGGCAAAAAAGACACCTTTGTTCAATAATTATTTAAATGTGGGAAATGTAATAACTGAATTAAGTGTAGGCTGTTTATGATTGGCATGCGGTGTAGCATCTTGTCTCATTCATGTAGTATGTCTGCTCATTTATTGGTTAGTTTAAAATGGCTATGAGTGTGGCTCATCTAATCACAATGTATAGTTGGAACTGTTCAATATATACCGGTAGTATTATTTCTCACACAGACTTGATTACGTCAGTAGACGAGAAAAGACATTGCAGAGATTTTTGATTAAGAAAGATTATGAAAGCAAACACTTTTTGTCTATATAATAATGTGCACTGATGAATCATACACAGTAAGACTATAGGGACATTTATATGGCAAGTCAATATGGTCTGTTTCATGACATCTTCAAAGCGTACAGACAGACTGAGTGATGAGTCACCAACACAAGGAAAACCAGCACACTGATTTTAGTAAGGGCAAAATGCCTTGAAAAATGTTGTTTAGGATGATAGTCTTTTATTAATTACTGCTAAAATGTGTAAAATGGGAGTGGAGGGAATATTTCAAGGCTTTAGACTTTTAAAAGTCACACATGACCTTTTTTAAACTGCAGAGACCCTGGAGTGAAGCTTAATGATAAAGAAAAAAAAAATCTTAATTCTACTTATTTGTCACTAAATATGGCTTAATCCTACATATAACAGCAGTCTATTTGTTATTTAATTAAAATATAATTTAGTTAAATATTAAATAAATGTTGTATTCAATTTTAAGTAATTATTCAAATATTAAATCATTTAAATTAAATATTTAATTACAAATATTGATTTAATTAATTTTGGATCAAATTTAGCAGCCTTCCAAATAAACATTTGATGTGTGGCCAAACAATATGAACTACTTTAAATATGATTTTTCTCACTGTTGCAGAAATACAAGATTATGTTGCAGGTCAGTTTGATGCATTTTTGTTGTTGGAAATACTGGTTAACCAGTGATGCTTTTTTTTTATTTTGTGACTTTTTCTTTCTTAGGGTCATGAAAATGCAAAATTTCTATTACATACCAAATTTCTGTTACGATTATGATGTTTGTGGGTCAATATGAACCTCATATTTCATCATTAAAGATTGTTTGATGTATTTTATGTCAGATTCTCTCAGCTGCCCTCTGAAGGAATTTACATTTAAGCATTCGACAGATGTTTTTCCTGTCAAAGCTTGCACTGCATTGAAGGCGTATTTTTTTTATCAGTTCACGCATGTCTGTGATGCACACTGATGAAGTACTTTTCCACAATTTTTCTAATCAAAATATTAAAATGTTTTTTTTTTTAATGTTAAGAAATAGTTACAATATTCTTTATAATATTCACAGCACAATATTATAATATTCATTAACATTTTTATATTTTGAATTATTAATGTTTATATAGCTTATATTATTTTTCTTTAGTAAAAATATAATATTTAGTATATATAGAGAGAGTGTGTGTGTGTGTGTGTGAGAGAGAGAGAGAGTGTGTATATATGTATATATATATATATATATATATAATTTTACTTCAGTTACATTTATTTTATTTCATGTAACGAAATGGCTTTACTTAACTATAATAATCCTGGTTTACAGTTTATAAAATAAAAAATAAAAAATAGTTATATGACAATTGTTATATGTCATAATACAAGAGTAAAAAAAAAAAAATCAAGGCCCCAGTACTTTGTTGTTCAGTGCAGCCTAACAAAATGTTAGTGTCATTTAGTATTTACTGTCAGGCTTCTCAGGAAAGTCAAAGTGTATGTACAGTACTTGTATTCTTACATAATTTTTCTAAAATTGCCTTTTTTCTTTTAAACGAGCACGCTGAGGTCTCTGCCTTGGATATAAAATGCACCTCTTTCTACATCAAGACCCTTTTTTTTTTTTTTACAATTTAACAAGTCATAGTCATCGTGGATGGGAAGGAGATGTGCTGGTGTCTATTTTCATTCGTGTTGGGCATTTGCTGCCATGGCAACCTGCTCTTCTGTATGTATGTGAGCACCATATGGGTCATGCTGCTTATCTGAGGCTCAGCAGAAACAGAACTGCTCTGCATCCTCGCTGTGATTCATCATGAATATGTAATGGCCAGAGTTCAATATGGTGCATTCATAGGGCATCGTGAAAGTTGTTTTCATTGATTTTCTCATAGCTCATGAATGTATGTGAGCTGGAGGGGGTGAAGTCGACATTTGAATTACTCAAAGATTTTGACTCAGTCAGCCAGTTATATAGGAGCTGTTGATTTGCTATTCTTATGATATTCTCAGTATTCAAGGCAAGATACATTTTATGGCCTGGTATCAAATGACAGAATGTTAATAAGGGAAGAACCAGTGATCATTTTGTTTTAGTAGCTGGTTTCTTTTAGAAGTTCAAGATGTATTAGATGTATTAAGTTACTTAGTTACTTTTTATAGAAAGTAATGTGTTGCGTTCCTTTTGCGTTCCTTTTTCTCATCTGGGCTGGGCTTGCTTGTTTGTTTTTAATATAAATAAAGTTCTATTTTTGACAAATGTAAAAGCCCTTTCACGCCAGAAGTGACATGAATAAGCCTCAGGCTGAAGGAAATGTAAATTCGAAAAGCTCAAACAAACCTTTCAGCTGTTCTGCCATTCTGGATTGCATGAAGAATAAGGACGTAAGAGAAGAAAGTTTTAAAAATTACAGTCTCACAAAAGTTAAGTTTCTCTAAAGTCATTATTGCTTCTTAGTATGGTTGTATTGGAGGTCATTGAAGGTCAGCAGCAAAGACACTGTTAGTAAAAAGGGATAACTTGTTTGAAAAAAAGTAACTCAGATATTGTATTGTAAATTAAAAAAGTAATGTGTTACTAGTTACTTAAAAGTAATCTGACTACATAACTCTTATTACTATGCGTTACCCCAAACACTGTGTATCTCTATCTATCTATCTATCTATCTATCTATCTCTCTCTCTCTCTCTCTCTCTCTCTCTCTATATATATATATATATATATATAAAACAAAGCAAAATTTATGTTTTGTTGACATTTGTGTCAAAAAGTCGTATGTATTTTGAAACAATTTAGATATACTCTACCATTCAGAAGTTTGAAGTCTGTAAGATTTTTTAATGCTTTTGAAATACATATTGTATGCTTACCAAGACTGCATGTATTTGACACGTATACAGTAAAACAGTAAAAATGTGAAAAATTATTACAATTTAATATAGCTGTTTTTAATTTGAATATATTTTAAAATGTAATTTATTCCTGTGATGGCAAAGCTGAATTTTCAGCATCATTACTCCAGTCTTCAGTGTCACATGATCCTTCAGAAATCATTCTGATGTGCTGATTTGCTGCTCAGAAACATTTGTTATTATTATCAATGTTGAAAACAGATGTGATGCTTAATATTTTTTGTGGAAACATTATACATTTTTGGGATTCTTTGATAAATAGAAAGTTCAACAGACGCATTTATTTGAATGTCTTTACTGTCACTTTTGATAAATTTAATGCATTCTTGCTGAATAAAAGTATTAATTTCTTAAAAGAAAAAGACATACTGACCCTGTAGTATTTGATAATGACATTTAACTTTTTTTTTAACTTTGTTTTTATTTTTAACTGACTTTACAACTCAAATCAATTATCACATTTTATGAGGTTGCTTTCAAAATCCATTCAAAAATCTGCAGAGCATGTGTTTCTGCATAAAAGTGTCTTATAAAGCTTGCGTTTAATTAATTACGGAAGGGATTTATAGTAGTTCCCCTGGTAAAGGTGCTCCCATAAAGTGTGTTTAGCTAAATTATCCAGCCTCTTGCTAGTGCAACACCCAAATGCCTGCTCTCTCCTATATTACAGGGCAGAAAAAACAGAGGTACTGAGTGAAGACCTGCTGCAGGTGAGATGAAATCAGATCAGTGTGAACACAACTGCGTACACAAGCTGTATATATTTATATTTATACTACACTGCTCATATGTTTCACATGTGTCTATTTTGCATTCAGGTGGAGAAGCGTTTAGACCTGGTAAAGCAGGTCTCTCATAGCACACATAAGAAGCTGACCGCCTGTCTGCAGGGACAACAAGGCACTGATTTAGACAAGAGATCAGTCAAATCTCCCTCGGTATGTCAACTCTCACACCCCAGATACTTCAGTTTTTTGCAGTGCAATGAATTACTCTCATAACAATTTGATTGTGATTTTCCCTAAACACAGAAAAAGTTGCCCCTGACGATACTTGCTCAATGTATGGTGGAGGGAGCAGCTGTGTTAGGAGACGACTCTCTTCTTGGGTGAGTTTGTCTTTATATTTTGACGTCGAATCAGATTTTTCAAACGGTTTCCCTTGGGCTGCATCCTAATTTACAACCAGATGGGCATCAATGGAGAATTATGCTTTTAAACTCACAATGGAAAAAGTGATTTTCTCAGTATTTGTTTTGTCTCATTTTCCAGTACAAATATCTAAACATTCTTAAATCAAGATACATTTACTTGAAAAAGAAAATTACATGAGATATGAAGTTTTGTTTACTGGAATACAAGAATAAAATATCTGCTAGAGAGGTAAAAAAAAATAAAGTTGTTTTCACTTTAAATGTAGTTTATTTTCCAGATATTTTCCTTGTTTTAAGCATAAATTCAATTTTGACAATTTTTTTCAGAAAACAAGAATTATGACTTATTTTTTTATGACTTTTTTTTTTTCAGAATGTGATTTTGCTTTCCAAGTAAATGTCTTAAAATTGAAAAAAAAGGGAAAATATGGTAAATTAACAGATGGGACGTCAGTGTACACTAAAAAGTGGTAGCAATACAAATGGCTCCAGGATGATCTGAGGAAGTGATGCCAAAAATGTAGTGATATGTCACTCCTTAGCCTTCACTTATTTCAGACATGTAATATTTTAGCAAAAATACTGATTGTATTATAATACCAATTCAGACAGAAATGAAAAAGCAGACAAAAGGGTGAATCAAGCACTTAAATTGGGCAAGACAAATCAAATTTTTTAATTAGTTAACAATAACAACACTGTGGCAGACTGGAAAATATTTCCATCATAGACCGTAAAAAAAAGATGTGTCCACTTCCTTCCACTATAGAAAAGTGATGGCCCGGTATGGCCACTGTCATCTTGTGCCAATGACGTCATTTGGAGCCCGAGTCTGTGCAGTAGTGATCGTGAGGTGGAGTCGCAGTATAAACGTCCCGCCCAAACATTCCCAGACCCAATCATAAGCTCACAGAAAACCGAACACTTGAACATACATCGGCGTGACAAGAACTACTTAAAATGATGGACACCATCTTTGAGAAAAATTGACTTAAAGTGTAATTTAATTTAGTGCATGGAAAGGGCGGGGTTTATGACTTATACTGCAGCCAGCCACCACTTACCCAGTCATTATCTGGCTCATATTTGCGATTTCAACCATATTCTCAAAACTATTGTTTTCAATGACTTGAGGAATAAAGATGCGCTTATTGATTCATCAGATATTTAATTATTGTTGCGCAGGAAAAATATGCTTACACTATTACATCCCTCGGGTTGCTACCCTGATAGCACACGTACATCACAGAGACGTCTATATGACTTCTGCAAGATGTATTTTTTTTGTATTGAGTGTTTGCTCATCTGCAGTACGCCTATAGGATGTTTCCGATCAGATGTCAAATAGATGTTTAGAAAATGTCTTTAAGATGTTAATGATTTAGAATGCATGTAAAACGAAATGCTTTCCAGATGAAGCGAGCTTTAACAGACATCTTGTAGACGTACGTGTGCTATCTGGGTAGCAACCCTAAACACTTTTTACAAAAAATGAATCAGAAAACATAGATACTTTTATATATATGCTTTTTTCTTGTTATATTGTTTAAAATGAATAGATTGAGGAATATTAAGAAAGTTGAAGTCTAACTTTAAAAAATGAAGGAGGGAGAGGGTAGTGAATGACGTCCTGGGTCATTAAAGACCCGAGGTATGCATTTAAGGGTTAAACTGGTTTGCAATCTGCCAGTAAACCTAGTGAAGCAGAAGAAAGATGCTTTTTTTCCCCCAGCCAGGTGGTGTAATTACTACAACCTACCAGCAGGGGCTAATGGGATCATGGTAACCTGACAAACCTTATTCAGACTTCTTGTGGTCAAAGTTTGGTTTCTAAATGTCTCTTGTCATGCAACCTGCATTGGTTTGCATCAAATTAATTTGGATAGTTTCTACCAAGAGACAGATGAAATAGCACCAAAAATATCATAGAATTTGATTAGGCACACAGCCTTTGATGTCAACATAAAAAACTATGGGTAGTTGTTTCTCACACATTCAAGCTCTTGAGTTATTTCATGATATTCACCAAGATGTTTGTGAATTAGGATGCAGCTCTGACTTGGTTGACTGCTTTGGCTAACCTGTGGTCTCCTTCTGTAGCAAGATGCTGAAGCTCTGTGGTGAGTCAGAGGAGAAGTTGGCCCAAGAGCTGCTCGTCTTTGAGTTTCAGATTGAAAGAGATGTTGTGGAGCCTCTGTATGTGCTGGCTGAGGTGAGCATGTTTTTCCTTTCAAAGTTACACTGTAATACACATATTGTGCCCTTTTTTCATCTGCATGTAACCATATAAAGCCTGACATATGAAATAATAGTCAGAAAAATCTTTTTTCTTTTTTTTTTTTTTTAATTGAATAGTTTATTAAACCTTTAGACAAAGTAAAATCTTTCTAACAGTATTACAGACTACTTACATAAAATGCATATAAATGTCTATTGTCACTGTATATCTCCCAATAATATAATAAGTCTTAGTACCGTAATATGATATTTAAATGCTTAGTTTTATTATCAAAGCTCTGTAGTTTTTATTATGGGACAAAAACATATAATGCAATGTAATACAATGATAATTCAGAGATGTACATACAAATGTTCATCAAATGCCTGATGTATTAAAAAATTGTTTATCTTGAAATATTAAAAATATAAAAATTATTCTTACATTTACTTTATAAAAAATCTGTAAATATTTCACAGCCAAAAGTCATGTGTACAACAACCTGATGGGGGACATTTTTACTTAAAGGACTTTTATTTGCTAAAAAGTATAAACTATCAATCAGGTGACAGAAGGGATGTAGTAGATTGTGTACAGCAGGTTTTTCAGCAAAGTTTTGATCATGTTCATAATTTAGAGGCCTTAGAAATTTGCGTATCAAATATGATACAGTAGACTTTATAGGGTTGGAAGCTAATCCCTAAGTGCTTGCAGTTTTTAATGCATGAAGGTTGTATTGCTTCTCATATGGACACGGTTTGCTGTTTAGGTGGAAATTCCGAACATTCAGAAACAGCGAAAACATTTAGCCAAACTCGTCCTGGACATGGATTCTGCAAGGACACGGTATGGACTACAAGCAATGTTACTGTTGATCCCTTGATCTGCATTGCACACATTGTGCTCTGACCGTGTCATTGGTCCTCCTGACCTCTAGGTGGCAACAGTCATCCAAGTCTACAAGTCACCCTAGTAATGTGCAGCAGGGCGGAGCCAAGGGTGATTCCCTTAGAGAGGAAATGGAGGAGACGGCCAATCGGATGGAGATCTGCAGGGTGACGATTCCTCTCACTCTTTCTTCCGTATTTAATTAAAACCTTAACCAAATGCAAAGCAAAACTAACATGTTACTTTTACTTAATAGTCTCCATCTCAAAATGTTTTTGCCTTTTTTTTATTAGAAATTTGAAATATTTGTGATAACTTAGACCTACATGTCTTCCTCTCTGTAGGACCAGTTATCAGCGGACATGTACAACTTTATGGCCAAAGAAATAGACTATGCAAACTACTTTCAAACGGCAAGTACCTCTGGGCACTAAAGGTGAAGTGTGTCATTTTGGTTGGAATACCTTACAACGTGTGTGTGTGTCCTCTTATTGGTCTTGCTGTAGCTCATAGAGGTTCAGGCGGAGTATCACAGGAAGTCTTTGGAGATTCTGCAGAGTGTGCTGCCACAGATCAAAGCTCACCAGGGTGAGACTCTCCACTTCCACTTTCATGCCTGAGCGTACAAGTTTGGTTAAGTGGTGGCTTTCAAGTGCTTGTGTGGGTCTGTCAGTAAACTTGTTTCTGTAGCTTTTAGGGACCTGCATTTTAACGTCCATCATGATGTGTTTCAGAGGCCTGGATAGAGAAGCCATCGTATGGAAAGGCCTTAGAGGAACATCTAGCCATCAGTGGCAGGGAGATTGCGTTTCCTATCGAGGCGTGCGTCACCATGCTGCTCGAATGTGGCATGCAGGAAGAGGTGCGAGACTGCTGAGAAATAGCACAACATGCCTTATTTGTACCTGGAAGCGCAGTTTGTTTCTACAAACTGCGGGATGAGTCGAAATTGTTGTGTGTGGTAATCAACAGCATGGCACAGATGCCGTTCATAAACATTATGCTGTAGATAAACTGAAACATTCTGGAAAGATCTCTTTGATTTCACCTTGACAAATTATTAAGTACAATGATAGTATCATTGACCAGGATTTTTATAGTCTCACCATCATGCGGAGCGTCCACAGAACATCTTCAGTCTGTTCACTGATCAAATAGTTGTATTAATATTTTTAATATTGTTGAATACTTCCCGTGTTGATTTATTTATTTAAATGCCATTAAATGACTCATTAAAAAAAAAAAACTAATCATGATTGGCCGCTTTACATTAGAGGTCTGCGCGGGACTGTTTTTTTAGTCCCGCTTTCGCAAGGTTCTATTCCGCACCCACCCGCTCCCGCTTTATATTCACTCTTTGTTCACCCGCTGTCCGCTTAGAATAATTTTATTCCCGACCCAACCGTTCCCGCTAAATTTAGATTTAGTTTCCAGAATCTCACATTTAAATTTCCGCTACTGAAAGAAAGAGAGATAGGCTGACAAATAAGTGTATTCTGCACAAAATTGTATGTTATTTTATT